GGGAGAGACTTCCAGCCTCACAGGAGAGTGTGTTGGAGTGACCCATGGGGTCCTACAACATACACAAGCCCACCCACATGGGAATCAGCACCAGAAAGGACCAGTTTGCTTGGGGGAAGCTGCAGAAGGGACTGAAATCCCACAGAGAGCAGAGCAAACGCCATTGTTCCCTCTCGGACCCCACCCCCACATACAGCATCACAACCCAGCAACTGGGTTGCCCTGTCCTGGTAAACACCTAAGGCTTTGCCCCTCATATGTAACAGGCCCAGCAACCACCAAAAAAAAAAAAAGAAAAAAAATGGCCCCAACAGAAGAACAGATCAAAACTCCACAGCAAATACAACTAAGCAACTAAGAGATAGCCAACCTATCAGATGCACAGTTCAAAGCACTGGTGATCAGGATGCTCACAGAATTGGTTGAATTTGGTCACAAATTAGATGAAAAAATGAAGCCTATGCTAAGTGAAATGAAGGAAAATGCAGAGGGGACCAATAGTGATGAGAAGAAAACTGGGACTCAAATCAATGGAGTGGACCAGAAGGAAGAAAGAAACATCAAATCAGAAAAGAATGAAGAAATAAGAATTCAAAAAAATGAGAAGAGGCTTAGGAACCTCCAGGACATCTTGAAACATTTCAACATCCAAATTATAGGGGTACCAGAAGGAGAAGAGGAAGAGCAACCAGTGGAAAACTTATATGAACAAATAATAAAGGAGAACTTCCCCAATCTGGCAAAGGAAATAGACTCCCAGGAAGTCCAGGAAGCTCAGAAAGTCCCAAAGAACTTGGATCCAAGGAGGAACACACCAAGGCACATCATAATTACCTTAGCCAAGGTAAAAATGAAGGAGAGAATCCTAGAAGCAGCAAGAGATAAGGAGACAGTCACCTACAAAGGAGTTCCCATCAGACTGTCAGCTGATTTCTCAAAAGAGACTTCACAGGAAAGAAGGGGCTGGAAAGAAATACTCCAGGCAAGAAGTAGTCATGAAAGGCAAGGGCCTACATCCAAGATTACTCTATCCAGCAAAGTCAACATTTAGAATGCAAGGGCAGATAAAGTGCTTCTCAGATAAGGTCAAGTTAAAGGAGTTCATCATCACCAGGCCCTTATTATATGAAATGTTAAAGGAACTTATCTAAGAAAAAGAAGGTAAAAAACATGTACGGTAAAATGTCAGCAAACTCACAATTATTAACAACCACACCTAAAACAAAAACAAAAACTAAGCAAACAACTGGAACAGGAACAGAACCACAGAAATGGAGATCACATGGAGGGTTAGCAACAGGGGAGTGGGAGGAGGAGAGAAGGGGAAAAGGTACAGAGAATAAATAGCATAGATGGTAGGTAGAAAATAGAAAGGGGGAGGGCAAGAATAGTATGGAAAATGTAGACGCTAAAGAACTTATGACACATGAACATGAACTAAAGGGGGGAATGTGGGTGGGAGGGGGTATGCAGGGTGGAGGAGAATGAAGGGGGGGTAATGAGACAACTGTAATAGCATAATCAATAAAATATATTTTTTAAAAAACTGAGAATATCTGCCTTGCAAAAAATGTTAAAAGTTCTTTAGAGAGAAGGGAAATAATGAGTCAGAAAACTGGATCTACAAAAAGAGAACACCAAATAAAGGAATAAGTGAAGGTAAAATAAAACTTTCATTGTTTTTATTTTTACATGATCTAACAGGTATCAGTTTGTCCAAAATGATAATAGAAACAATGTCATATATTCAGTTACATATCCTTATATACATTATATGTGTATATATGTATATAGGCTTACGGATGTTTATACAAGCAAAATGAATGACCACAATGATACAAGGGACAGGAGGAAAAAGGAGGATTATTTTGTTATTATAAGGTGAACTCCTACTACCCATGAAGTAGTACAGTGTTATTTGAAAGTGGACTTGAATTATTATTATGTACATTTTTTCTAAGTATAATTGATGTGCTAACAGAAAGAAAATGAAATCATAACAAACAAAACAACAAGACACAAAAAGAGTGGAAGACAACAACAGAAACAAAGAACAGGGACAACAAACAGAAAAAAGTAACAAATATGGTAGATATTAATCTAACTATACCAATCATCACTTTTAATGTCAATGGTCTAAATGCGCCAATTAAGAAAGATTTCAGAGTGTATCAAAACATAAGAGAAACTCACATTAAAACATAAAGACATATATAGATTAAAAGTAAATGGATGCAGGCCATGGCCAGGTGGCTCAGTTGGCTGTAGCGTCACCCATACACCAGAAGGTCGCAGGTTCAATCCCCAGTCAGAACACAACCAATCAATGTTTCTCTCTCTCCCTCTTCGTCTCTCTCTTTTCTTCTCTAAAATCAATTAACATATCCTCGGGTGAGGATTAAAAAATAAATGGATAGAAAAAATAAACCATGCTAACACAAGAAAGCATGCTAACATCAAAAGAAAGAAGCAGCTATATTAATTTTCAACAAAGCAGACTTTAAACTAAGAAAAATTATCAGAGAAAAAGAAGGGCATTACATAATAATAAAATCATATTTACATAAATATAAGCAGACATAATTCTTAACATGTACTCTCATAACAAAAGAGTCAAACCATGTAAGACAAAAACTGATAGATGCAAGGAGAAATAGATGAATCCACTATTATAGTTGGAGACTTCAACAACCCTCCCTCTGAAACTGACAGATTCAGTAGACAGAAAGTCAATAAGGACAGAGTTGAACTCCGTTGAACTCCGTAACACCATTAATCACCTCAGCATTGACTGACATCTATAGACTACTGCATCCAACAACAACAGACCATCATTTTTCTCAAACTCCCATGGAACACTGACCAAGAAAGACTACAGACTGGACTACAAAACATACCTTGACAAATTTAAAAGAATAAAAATCATGCAATGCTTGCTCTCAGACAACCATGGAATAATACTAGAAATCAATAACAGAAAGACAACTGTAAAATCCCAAAATACGTGGAGATTAAACAACACACTTCTAAATAACTCATGGGTCAAAGAACAAACTTCAGGGGAAACAATATTTTGAAGTAAATGAAAATGAAAACACAACTTACCAAAATTCTGGGGAAGTAGTGAAAGCAGTGTTTGAAAAGAAATTTATAGCATTGAATGCACATATTAGAAAACAAAAAAGATCTAAACTCAATAATCTAAGTTTACACCTTAGGAAATGAGAAAAAGAAGAGCAAGTTAAATCCAAAGGAAGTGGAATAAAAGAAATATTAATTAGAGCAGAAATCAATGAAACTAAAAACAGGAAATCAATAAAATCAATAAAATGAAAAGTTGTTTCTTTGAAAAGATTGAGAAAATCCATAAACTTCTAGCCAAGCTAATTAAAAAACAGAAGGGACACAAACTGTAGTATTAGCAATGAAAGAGGGGACATGACTACAGATCCCACTGAAATTAAAAAGATAAGATACTAGGGGGAATAGGAAAAGAGATAATAAAAGAACTACTATGAACAACTCCATACCCACAAATTTGATAACTTAGATGAAAGGGACCAGTTCTGTGAAATATACAATTTGCCAAAACTCACACATGAAAAAACAGACAATATAAACAGGCATATACCATTTAGTCAACTTGGATTTGTAATGGAGTACAGAGCATGAGTCCCCTGAAAATAGGAGAACAGCTGCTACAATCCTATCTTCAGGCAGGCCGGGGGGAGGGGGAGAACAGAGGGTAGTGTTGAAGATACAACTGAACATCATCGGCAAGTTAACAGCCATGCCTTTCTGAAGCGAACAGTGCTGCCCTCCAGCACAAATTGTGTAAGTGTCTGAGAACATTCAGGGACTTGTGACTGGAGGGGTGGGGGAGGGGTGGGGGGAGTGGCAGCTGCACCCTGGATGGCCCTGTGTCACCAGGGACTTTTGTGCTGACTGAAGATGGCAGCCAAAAGTAGGTAAAAGACACTGGGGAACTGGCAAAAATGGCAGATGCTGACACACCATAGGAAGGGCTGGATATGAGGTCACAAAGGAAGTTCCACGCTAAGCATTTACATCAGGGCAGACTAGTCAGAGAGAAAGAGAGAGAGAGAAAGAGAGCGAGCGAGAGAGAGCGAGAGAGCGCGCGCGCGTGCACACAAGCCCACGAGGTCTGCAATGAGAGAAAGTCAGTTAAGTCTGACATGCGTCAGCCTGGAAATCTGCCTGGAGAAGATGGCAGCAGAGGCAACGGAGCTGTGGGCACCTGCCTGGCCACCGGGATTCATGAGAGATGCTTGGAGCTGAACTGTGACTAGGAATGCTGAGCTGCAGACTTCTACTTCTGCAGGCGAATTCTGAAACTGGCCTGGTTTGGCAGGCAGTGGGACTCAACAGCAGAAATCTGCCATTATTTTAAATCAGTATAACCTTTAACCCCTTTCCTTTCTCACCAAACCCTTGCACTGGGAGTCATGCCTCTTGGCAATGGGCAGTCAAACCCCACAGTTGTTCCACAACAGCACAGACTGGGGTTCTGTAACAGGTTCATCTCCCTCTGCAAAAACTCTTCCTATATATTTACGAAGTTCATTCCTAAACTTACGCCATTATTTTCTGAAGGACATCCAGATTGTTTTAAGACTCCTTTTACTCTTAGGGTTTTTTTCCAAAAGAGGTCTCCTCCTTTAATTTCTTTCCTTAAATTTAATTTAATTTCTCTTATTCTGATGGCTTCTCTATTTCTTTAGATACACACAGAGTTTGAGATCATTTCCTATAAAGTTTTCATCTACTTTCAGAATACAAAGTTATTGTGTTATGGAAGATGATGGAGCAGATTTTAGAAAGGTAGGTACATAATATTGGGAATTCAAACAACTAAATAAAATGCCCATTTGAAAATGCCCTACCTAAGAGAGTGTGAAATAAAGGTTAAAAATTAGGTTAAAAATTGCTAGTCTAGTAAATTAAGAAACAGAATGTGTACAAGCAGAAAAGATTCTCACATGAGTGGTCTGACGAGATGTTGTGTGGAACCAAAACAAAGTCATCCGTGTCGCAAGAGGAGTTCTTGCTACTAGTACTGGCAGAGTCTTTGGACACTTGTAGGTAGTTGGGAGGACCCAATGGTGGGGAGGATAAGTTTTCTTCCTGAATATGCTGCATATCTGCAAGGGACTAAAATTAACAACATAAAATTAAAACTGGCCTAAGAAGAAAGTACAAGTCAGAATAGCCATTAGACTAAAGAATTTTTTTTATTTTTCATCAAAGTGGGCATAAAGTTCAATTCCATCTAAAATTTCAAAAAACCTCTTTGGAAATCTTTCCCTTAGAAAAGCAGTTTCAAACCTCTTTGCATAAAGACTTGAAAAATGTTTTCCAAAAGTGATACTTAAAAATGTATCATGCCACCAATCACATGTACAATAACTGTAGGCCTCTCCTAAAACTTCTGAGGTGAGTTTGCCCCATCCCAGAATCCTCAGTTTCAGCTCGTGGCCTCACAAAGCAGATACTCAGTTAACTGTTCCCTTAATGACCAAAGCAAAATGTCCAGGGAGTTGAATGACACCTTGAAAGCACACAAAGTTTTAAATCTCCAATGAAGAAAACATTATAAATAGGGAAGCAAGGGACTATAGTATGTAAAAAAGTAAATAAATCAATAAGGATAATTACATTTAAGCCTAGAGATTGATTTACGCTCACAAAAAGAAAGATTTGAAAACATGAAAGGTGTGGGTATATTTCTTTTGTTTTTCTTTTGTTACAGGGAGGAGTTAGTCTGTGGGAGATAGGACAGAAAGGGAAGAAAAACACATAAATATATTTAAACAAATACTTAGGCATAAGTAACTATCTTTTGGGATTTGTCTAGTTCAAGGACTCTAGTGACAACTCTAACTGAATGTGTTGATTTGATTATACAATGGTTTCCTAGAACAATGAACTTCATAACTTACTGTGTATTGTGTCAAATCCCCATTAAGTTTAACCTTTGTTTCTATTTAAGAAAAGAAGCCCTGGCTGGCATAGCTCAGTGGATTGAGCGCGGGCTGTGAATCAAAGTGTTGCAGGTTCAATTCCCAGTCAGGGTACATGCCTGGGTTGCAGGCCATGACACACAGCAACCGCACATTGATGTTTCTCTCTCTCTCTCTGTCTCCCTCCCTTCCCTCTCTGAAAATAAATAAATAAATAAAAATTCTAAAAGAAAAGAAAAGAAAAAATAACGCTCTTTAAACCCAAGTCTTAAACACTCAGTTCATTGCCGGTGCTTCTCTGAATGTCACTATGCAATGAAATTTCCTTATCACATGTGTGTGTGTGATATACACATGATATAAAATCTCATTACTTTTAAAGAGAATTCATGCCTCAAGGAAGGGAAGATGGAAGGACAAACTTTACTGAATATCAGCCATGGGCTGAGCACTACTGAGAGGTCTCCTGGCATCACCTAACTTCTGTGCCATTATGAAATCCACTTTACTTTTAAATAAACAAAACTCAGAAGATCAGGATTTGCCCAAAATTACACAACAAAAAAGCAGTCAAGTTGAGATGTGATTCCAAGTATGTCCACAACTTCTTTGCAGTGGTTTAGGCAGAAACTCTCTAAATTTCTTACCCTGCTATTTATAAAATCATCCGTGTCCACAACCATCTTGGTGAAAGACAGGCTTCTCCTTCACCCAAAGCTAGTCTCTCCACCTGTGTTCTAAATCCATTCTCCCCACCTCTTCAAGGACCTAGATCAAATTCCCTCCCTCCTGACATTCTCACCCTCCCAGCTTTCTGACTTTTCCCCTCTGTAATACAAACATGTTTCATTTTCTCACTTCTTGAATCCTTGCAGTTCTCTCAATCACCACCTTCTCTTAACAATGTTTCCTGAAATTACCAATCTTCACTGACTCAACTTCCTCACTTCTCATGTATCCCTTAACCAACCCTAACACATTTTCTGCCTTCAAAACTCCAGTAGAACTGCTTTTACTAAGATTACTAGTTAACTCCCGTTGCCAAGTCCTGTGGATGCTTCCTCTGTTCCTTAAGTTCCTTGAATTCTCTGCTGCAGGGGACCTGTGGACCATTCTTTTCTTGACACTCCCCCCTTCCTCCAGTGACCCTGCAACTTGGTTTTCCTCCTACTTCTCTTTTGTTGGTGCCTGCTACTCAATCTGATCCTTAAAGGAGAGGACAAGAGTACAGAATTCCCCCAGAACCTACCCTGACCCTCTGCCCCTCACATTTTGTACGTTCACCTCAGAGACCACTCTCACCCTCCCTTCAACTACCACTTGTGTGATGATGCCTCTGCAGCCCAGGCCTGCTCAGAAGAGGTCTGGCCCCTGTGCCTGGCCCACACAATGTCAACTCGTCCCCTTTATGCTCTAAGGCCTTGCTCCCCATGCCTCCTCACTAGTGCCTTCAGGGTCTCCCTCTTCCATATGTTCCAAGCTCTGCAAACTCTTTACCATTCTCTCACCTGCTTCCCACTCCCTTCTCCTCTTCCTACTGCTGCCTTAGGTCAGGCCTTCATTCTTAAAACACACAAACACAAACACAGCTGCAACTGTCTCCAGTTGTTCTCTTTCCTCTAGGAGAGACCCCTCCATTGGTCTCCAGTCTACTTTTTCACCCTGCTTTTGGAAGAAGCCAGCTAAAACACACAGTGGATCATATCATGCCTCCGCTTAAAATCATTTAAATAACACAGCTTTAGGATAAAATTTGAACTTTTATTCAACACCCAAATTCTCTTAAGATTAAGCTTCTCCTTCCCTCTGTAACTTTTTCTTTTTTAAAGATTTTATTTATTTACTTTTAGAGAGAGGGGAAGGGAGAGAAAAAGAGAGGGAGAGAAACATCAATGTAAGAAACATCAATCTGTTGCCTCTTGCACGCCCTCAACCGGGGACCCTGCCACAATCCAGGCCTGTGCAGGATGGTGCTCAATCCACTGAGGCACACAGCCAGAGTTGTAACCTTATTTTCCCCTCACCATGCTCCTTCCATCCACCAGACTGAATGGCTTAGAGAAGTCTTGTCCACAAGGACCTCCAGCAATAATGGAAGAGCTCTGTATCTAACTGTCCAGTATGGCAGCCACTAGCTAAATACAACTACTGAGCACTTGAAAAGTGGCTAGTGTGCCTAACTGAATTTTTAAATTTCACTTAATTCTAACTTTAAACTTCAGTGGTGTGGAGGGCTGCAGCGCTCCTGCAGTGGTTAATACTGCCGTGGCCTCTTGAATGAAGACTGCCCCGCCTGCAGTGCTTTCTTTCACTGGTTCACTGGGCTGGCTCCTCCTTCCACCTCAGCTCCATGCCCTCTCCAAACAGCCTTCCTTAGCTCTTAGTCTGATGTCACGCCCCTCATCCACATTCCCACATTCAGTAAAAATACACATATCATAGGCTTCATAGTGATTGTTTTATCTGCCTTTTTTCCACACAGTTAAAAGCTCCTTAATATAAGGAGGTTTTTAACTCCCTGGTACAGCACTGATTAGTATCAACCAGAATCTCACACAAAGCAGACGTTTAATAAATGATATGAGACCAACAAATAGATGCTGAAGAGATATTATCTAAATAGTATTTAACTGATAGCCAGTAACATAACTAAAAAAGTGATTTGGATTTATGGATTTTATTTTGTTTTTTTTTAAGGCTGTGGGGTTTTTTTTGTTTTTGTTTTTGCCTTTCAAAGATTTGTCTGAAAAAAGAAGCAGCTGGATATGTATGTGAAGAGTATTTAAAAAGAAAGACTGTTATATGTGCACACCTGTATGTATTAACCCTTAGTGAAAGAGTCTACTTCTGCCCTAGGAAGGAAGAGATGCAGGTATGAAATCATCTTACTTTTGGCAGATTATATTAAAAGTCTATCAAGCTCCCATTTTCTAATATCACTAAGTGGAAATTATACAGAAATGTTCTCCCCTTTCCGTTTATTCCTCAGATTTCCTTATTTTCGCTTTAAGCATGAGCTTTTAATAAAGGTCTTGTAAAAATGTTTCCTGCTAACATTTTTAGCATCTAAATCTGCCTTCTCACTCCCTCCTGCATCTGTCTCCTCCCTCCCTCCTGCATAGGCGTCCTGGCTCCTCTGGTCAGCACTCCCTCCTGCTCTTCCCCAGCAGCCCCCAGCCTGGCTCCTGCTCTGATCTCTTCAGTGCTGTCTAGCCAGCAAGGAATACCACTGTGCTCTCCCAGTCAGAGTTATTTCCAACTCAAGTGTCCCTCCCATTGGCCTCTCTCTTCCTCATCCCTTGGTTGTTTAACCATCCTGCTGTGCAAATTTATTCCTACTCTCCAACACCTCTCCCACACAGTCTTCTGGTTCTTCCTTTTTCTAGCATAAGCTTTGCTTTCCATATTATGTATTACGTTGTATCAAATATACAAGATATGGCTAACAATAGCTACAGTTTATCAAGTACTCACTATGGCTAGGCACCTTGAACATATGACCACATACTGCCCTGTAAGCAAGTTATGAGGCCTGCCTTACAGAGGAGGGCCATGGCTCGGCTCTGGACCAGACTTGCCCAAAGTCACAGAGTGAGCAGGCTCGGCAGCCAGCTGTGCCCGGCTCCAAATAAAGTCTAGAGTCTTTCCTTGTCAATATACTTCCTCTATTTGTATCCCGATCACTCTAAATCCAGTGTTTTCATTTCCTTAAACTCATGAAACTATACTGTAAGTCTTATTAGTCCATCTGTTTTTTTCTATTTGGCAGGTTGTGCAAAAAGGTTTCGGTTTTTTATTTTGTTTTGGTTTTTGCCAGTTTTAAGACTCTTCTGTTTGAAAAAGGCTGATTAGCATGTGCATTAGCTGAGGGCTGTCAGTCTTCCCTGGAAAACAAATAGGAGTTGCCACTTCCTAAGTATTTATTGTATGTCAAGCACTGTAATAAGGACTTTTTGCTCATTTATCCTTTAAAAAGCTCCTGGAGTGATAAATTATACTCACTTTACATAAGAAACAGGCTCAGAGATTAAATCACTTGTCCTAGTTAATAATGGCAAGGGCTGTGGAGGCTTCCAAGCCCTCTACTTTGAAACCTGAGTGGCCTCAACCAGTTAATTATACAATCACTTCCTCTACAGCTCCCCCCACCCTTCTGCCAACAGTTGACAAAATTCCTGTTGCCCAGCTAAGCTGAGAAATATAAGAGCTGCCACAGGAGTCCTTGGACCTTCAGCCTGTAGGAAAGCCTCAAGATCACAACACTCCCAGGCTGCAACAGAGACCTGAGGGAGGGTCAGTCTAGAAAAGTACAAAAGAGGGTAAAGTAAGATCCTGAAGCAGAAAGGAGGAAGTAGTAGTGACCAGAAATTACCCGAAGTTCTCAGGATCAGAAAGAAGCACTTGGACCAGAAGGAAGACAGCCATGGAGGAAATAGCTTGGGAACCTCGGCAGGACAAAGAGGCTGGAGCACAACAACCTTTCAGGGCCAGTAATCACAACTAAGGGTGAAATCTGCATCATGGGTCATACCTCCACCATTGGAAATTCTATGCATAATAAATGTCCAAACTATTTATGACATTCAGATAAAATAAATATGTATTAATTATCTATCCACAGTTAACGAAGAGCTACTCTTTGTTTGCAAGTATCATTCAAGGCATGCAAAAGGTGAAAGTAGCATACTCACTGTTCAGAGAAAAACAGCCCCAAAAGGTAAAATTTCTTGCTAAATAAGTGCATAGGTCAAAATCTAGGTCCATTTGACCTGAGCCTCAGCTGTACTAGTAAATGCCATGTATAAAAAGAATACCCACAATGCATTTACAGGCTCCATTTGTGAACAGACACAAAAGCTCAAACTCTCAGATCATTTTTAATAAAACCAGAACTTACTGGTGGAGAGGCAAAACGACAGGAGGGAGAGCTGCCACAGGCACTTCCAGGGACAAAGCCAGTGTACACAGGCACTGGCACTGGGCAGGCTATGAGGAGAAGCACAAAGAAAAATACCACTTTGTAGTTCAAGTACATGACTTGTCTAATAGAAAAACCTGTCAACACTACTGCATTTTTGTGTTGACCAAAAATTCACATTCACCTACTTATTAAATGCTGCAATTACTGAAAACAATTTCAACTTGGATTTGGAAGGAAAAACAGAATGTTTATTAAATAAACACAAGTAACTACAGGTATTTTTTTTTTAAAAAAAGGTCAATAAAATCTTGAAAAGCATAATAAAAAATTAATTATATAATACAAAATACTAATTTTTCCTTAAGTTTGCAATCGCTCTTTAGTAAGAACACAAAAAGTGGGTACTCACACTTCTTTACTGGAACTTGCTCAAGAAAAGGATGGCTAAAAAATGTTTCTGTAATGAGAAATAACAATGCAACCTTTACAAAAATGTTGACTAGCAAAGAGGTTAATCTTGTCAATGTAGTCAACATAATATCTTTGAGTGCATAAATAATTAATTTATTTATGTTGCCTCCAATTCCTTTCAATGTAAAAGCATATTATTTTTATAAATCAAAACATTCAAATTATAAGGAACTCTTAATCAATGAAAAATTTTAAATAGTAATTGTGAATTCTCAAAACATCATTCCCAGCACAACACACTGAGGTCCCTGGAGCAACCCTGGTGCAGCCATGCCCTCTGCTGTGCACGCACTCAAGCAGACAGCCCCAGGAGTGCCACACTGTATGACCAGGCCCTTCCCAGGCATATTTCTGAGCTTCAGCTGCTCATCGTCCTAAGAGGAAATCTGGTAGCTGATGTGTACAATAAATTCTAACCTTCTACCCCAGGAAAAGTACTCCTTCAGCTAGTTTCAAAAACTATTTAAAAGAAAAAACTATTTTAGCCCTAGCCAGTAGCTCAGTTGGTTGGAGCATCATCCGGATACTCCACTGTTGCTGGTTCAATTCCCAGTCAGGGCACATAAAAGAATCAACCAGTGAATGCAAAAATAAGTGGAGTAACAAATCAATGTTTCTCTCTCTCTCCCCCTTCCTCTAAGTCAATCTAAAATAAAATGTTAAAAAAACTATTAATTTCTTCACTATCCACCAAGAATAAAAGCTACACAATAAGCCTGATAATTAAAGAAAATTAATAAGTAGATGAGTACTACATAATAATTCATTATTTTACTCTATTTCCCTATATGTATAAATTATTTATTTCTTAAACACCCACATAGATAACCTCATTTATCATTAAGTCTCTGATTTGTATAATATTAAATATCACAGAGTAAGCAAGGAGGGAAGCATAAAACCACCCTGGAGGTTTAATACATGTACAAAATCAGAGATAAACTTAATTCAGATTCAGACTAAATTATTTTCTACTCTGAAGGATCTCATGAGTTGCACCGAAATACCCAAAGCTCCTCAACGTATGTATCAATCACAACACTTGCTAAGGGATGGAAATGTGGAGAATTTTGAAGAGAAACACGAGTTTACTACCTTAGATCTTTTTAAAACAAAAATTAATATACATAATAAATTCTAGTTTGATATGTAAGATTTTTTATGCTGATCTTTACAGAAGACATAATAGGGATGAAAAAGAATAGACATAAATGAAAAAAACTAGATAGATGAGTGCAAAGACTCTATAACCACCTTCCAAATCAACTGCTACAGCATGAAAAATTTATAAATTTATTTTAAAACTATTATTCCCAAATATGTTGTTTCATTGATGGTCCCTATTTCTCATGGTGAAAGAGCAACTCTTGATTTAATTTCCCCCTCTGAAAGAAAAAAATACTGACCAACGACATGAACTAAAGTTAATGCCAATTTTGTAAAACTTTTAAGAAAATATATATTCCCTTATACAGAAACTACCCAGGCTGTCGCCTGCTGAGAACACTGACTAGAACAGTGAACTGAGTGCTCTGCACACTAGCTCTGGTGCCATTCTCACCGATAGTCTGCAGGCACATTCCTCCTCCCACAGAGACAGGACCTACAGCACACACCGGCCATGGCTCCTTCCCAGTGTCAAAGAGCGGGCAGGTCAAGGGACCCGAATTCAAACCCCAGTCTATCTTATCTGGAAGCTTATGTGGGTTTCTATAATACCCATTAACAGACCAAAATTATGGAATAAACTTTTGCAAATTTCTATAATTTTTATATTTATTGCTACAGAAAAAAACAAACTTTTTTTCCAAAAAATTGAAGATCAGAGTTAATTTGATAAGTATTTTCATTAAACATGTTACATGGTTTTTCTGGTCTGTCATTCTGAAGTCCTTCTATTTTTACATCAGATTGATAAGAACAAGTTAACAAACTGTCCCCTGTGCCCCAAAGAGGAGCTGAGACCCAAACAGTTCCAAGGATAAATGTTCTTTCAAACCTTCAAATACTGGATAATCCCTACAATATTAAGCATTCTAAGCTCTTTGATTACACAGGAAGTAGTGAAATAGTGTTTGAAAATAGATTGTGATAAATTACTTAGAGGGAAATTTTTAGCTTTAATGCTTACATTATAAGAGAAGGTTTAAATCAATGATATGAACTTCTACCTTAAGGATCTGAAATTCAGCCCTGGCAGGGTGGCTCAGATGGTTGGAGCATCATCCTGTACACCAAAAGGTTGCAGGTTTGATACCCAGTCAGAGAGCATACTGGAGGCAACCTATCTCTCCCCCCCAAGTCCTCTCTTTCTAAAATCAATAAATATATCCTCAGGTGAGGATTTCAAAAATAAATTTGAAAAAAGGAATCCAAAATTCTTAGATGCAGAGCACATGTTCACAAGGGTCACCATACAAGGAGGTGCCTCTCATTGGCTCCTTAAACCCCATTTTTGAAGTTAGGGACTTTTCTACCAGGATTCTGAGGTGTCTTTCCTTCATTCCTTATTCGTGAATCTTTTCCCAAATATTTCCCCAGCCTCAATCTCTCCTCTGATATCCAGATACCTTTTGATATCATATGTAGATATCAAATGGCCATCTTAAATTCAGCATGTCCAACCTAAACCCCTGATCTGGCCCCTACCTGCTCTATCTGCATAGCCTTTCACATTCAGTAACTGACAACTCCATCCTTTCAGTTGCTCAGGCCAAAAGTCCTGAGAGTCATCTTTGAGTCTTCTCTTTGTCTTACACCCCACATCCGATTCATCTCAAAACGCTGTGGCCTCTGCCTCCAAAAAGATCCAGAATTCAACAATTTCTTACCGCCTCCATTGCTGTTACCAAAGTCTAAGCTATATCATCTCTCATGTGGTGGCTGCAAAAGTCTCCTGATTAGTCTCCCAGCTTCCTCCCAGACCTCTGGCCCCTCACCTCAATCTGTTCTCACCAAGCAACCAGACTGATCCTTTCCAAAACATCAGTCAACTCATATTAGTCCTCTGCTCAAAACCTTTCAATGGCTTCCCACCACACTTTAAGCAAATGCCCAAGTCTAACTGCTTACATGACATGTCCCCAGCTCAGGGCATTTGTACTGGCTATACTGCTGAAAAGCTCTGCCCAAAGACACCCACATGGCTCACCAGCTCACACATGTCCATCAGCCTTTGCTCAAATGTCACTTTCTCAGAAAGGCCTTCACTGACTACCTTATTTAACAATTTAATCCCCCACCCTCCTTTCTCTTCCTTCTTTATTTTTTCCACAGTATTTATCACTTTCTAATAAAGCACATAATTAGAACTTATCATTTGTTTGTCTCTCCTCCACAAGAATTTATACATCTTGAGGACAGGGATTTTGTTTACTACTCTACCCCCCATACCTAAAACATAACAGGCACTCAATAAATATTTACAAAATAAGTGAAAGAAAAAAGACAGACAGATAGAAAGAAAAGTGAAATTGACTTTAATTTTCTTCTGATGCCTCAACAGAATATTTTTTTAAAAATCTTTTTAGACTACAAAAAAATAAAATTAGAAAGCATGTGAAATCTGAAAATATCACTTACCAAAGTCCATTCTATCTTTTTGGTTTCTCTGAAGCAAACCCAAAAGGAGATTAGCCAAATAAGGTGATGTTTCTCTGGGGATGCTGAGGGAAAAGGAAAAAACAACTGAAGTGGTGAGTTTCTATTAACTACGTGACTGTTGACTTAAACAGAGTAAACAAAATAGATATGCAGTTTCACAAATACTACCTTTCATACCAGGAGGACCAGAGTAAAGCCTTACTCCTTAAAGGAAAAAAAAATACATGAAGCAATTGCCTTTGAGAGACAGCATCAATTTGGGAAGCCTCCTGTATTGTGCTTACTACTGTGATATGCTGGAACAACTACACGAATAAGGCACTTCACAAGGATAGTCAGTCTTGAGTTTTAACACAACTTCAACCTGGCACTAAGAAGTATGCTACAGAGTTCTCTATTAGAAAAAGAGCCACCTCCAATTCTTCCTGGAAAAGGGCAGAGTTAAATAAACACAAGTGAGAAATAATACAGCTTCCTGAAATCCAATAAGAAAAAGACCCAATAAGGGCCCTGAAATCCAATAAGAAAAATGAGGAAGCAGAAAAATGAGGAAATAATAGGAATTACAATTTACAGAATAAAAACTACAAAAAGGACATCAAACAAATAAAAAAAGAACTAGCCTCACTAGTAAAGAGAATAATGCCAATTAAATTAATAGCTAATGTGTTCTCTGCCATTTGTGAGGCATCAAGTTGAACAACACCCCACCCGGTAACAACATGGGGAAAGGAGCCCTCTCTGCTGTGTGAGTGGGAACAGCCACTTTGAGAGCACACCTCCAGTCCAACAATCCATTTCCAGGAGTCTGTCCTAAGGAAATACACAAGTGTGTGTATGTACTCTCCCTCTTTACCCCCACTAAAGCCTGTCTGAAGTAATCAGAAAGTGAGAACAAGCATCTGGTTAAACAAAATATGATACATCTATGAGACTCCATGTAGCCATTCAAAAGAATGCAATAGTTGCTAAACAATGTCTATGCTATACTGCAGAGCAGAAAAAGTGGCAGAGTAATTTGCAAGGATGATGTAATTTGTATTGAACTATATGTGTGTTTATAAATATATAAATAAGCATTCAAATGTGTAAAAAAGAACTTGCACAAGAAAGATTTTGAAAGCTACACAGCTAACTCTCATCATCCCTAGACAGAGGGCGAGACCTAGGGGGAAGTGACTTTCTGCTTTATGAGCATCTACTCTGTTTGCCTCTCCTCCTCCTCACAGCAAACTATATATAACTTCCACAGGTTTTCTTTTAAATATTAAAAAAAAGACAAATGATACAGCACTACACAGGCACCTATGAAATGCTGGTAATTTTCCAATTTCTTATTGAAAAAAATGCTCTCATTACTGTCATTGAAAAAAGTTCAATAATAGAAATACATAAAACAAAGAGTTCAAATAAATAACACTGTATTTACAAATTATAAAGCTCAATGTAATCAAAACACATACCTAGGCATTAAGCTTCTGTTTTTTTCATAAAACATCCTTAAGTCTTGAGGACTATTGGCCTGTTTAAAAAAAAAAGGTTTAATTTACTACATAACAGGGACAAAAATTCCAAATCATATATTCAATGCTTATATTCTTGCTATACAGTACAGATTCTGAACTTGAAACCATGGATGGCTGAAGTACACAGATGGCCACAAGAAACTTAATAAAACCTCTGAAATTACATGCCAAGTCTGCATACTGGCACTGAGGTCAGACTCTCAGAGAGGCCTGAAACTTAGAAAAGGTTAAGAAGCACTATTCTGGAGGTTAAGAACCCATATTCATGGCCTATCCAATAGGCACACTGTTACTGTATAAAATCAGGTGTACGAGTATTTTACCTGAGGAGCTCAGGGTTCAAGGACAAGTACTGGGTATGCTGCCACTCTTCAGTCTCCACAATAACAAGTAGCACCTTCGTCCTAAGAACTGCTGAACTAGCAAAGCTGCTGCTACACACAAACCAGATCTGAAAATTCACTGCTTAACCTGGCCATGTCACTAATTCTTTAAATACTATCTTGGGCAAATAAGTTCACTTTGATCCAGTATTCAGATTCAAAGAACCTCTATGTAATTATGCAGCATGTACCCAAGAGGAATCACACGATTATATTCCAGAGGGCCTCTTTCTGATAAGATGTCAGGCGTTAGGAGGAAAGGGGACAGACCCAAAACAATTTCCATAGAGCCTAAACAACTAGCTCTCTCACCCAGCAGTGACAAGAACAGGTATCTGGAGACACAGCTTCCTGTGCTATTCCCAGACTAGCCCTGGCCCTCACTCATTATCACTACCCTGGAAAACGTGTTTCATGCTCATCCCAACTACAAAGGGAAGGCAGACAAGAAAGGAAAAGCGAAAAATGTTCTGGCTCACTACAGCAGTTTTTTGCCTGTAACAAAATCAAAGAAAGTCACAAAGGAACCAAAAACATTGTTTTCAAAGTATTCTCCATTTTATAAATGCAACTGCAAAATGAGAAGATCCCAAAACTGAGCACACAAGAAAAAAAGTCAGGATACCTGAAAAGGTGGTTTTCCAACTAGGCACTGATATACTACTGTTCCTATGCTCCACAAATCTGCCTTAGCATCATAATGTTGAGACATGATAACCTCAGGAGCCTGTGGGTGAGAACATTCAAGAGACATGCAATAGATTATTACATAATTAATATCATATGTTAATTAACTGGAAAAGGTCACACTGTAAACAAAACTACTAAAATAAAAAGAACACATTGTGATATTTCCCTAATCAAAATGATACTATAATGAATACATTGACATTTACTGGTAAATCTCAAAAACAATGTTGCATGAAAAGAAGCTGTAGAAACAAGCATTTCTATTATTAGGTGTACATAAAATATAGTAAAATAATAATAAAAAAATATACACACCAATTACAGGACAGAGGTTACTTCTAGGTTATGAGAGTAGAAGAGTGAGAAATGGAAAAAGGGAGAGGTGGTACAATAAGAACTTGGACTGTATGAAATAATTTCTTTTTCTAAAAACAAAATCAAGGCAAACATGGCAAAACATAAACTTTGTTAAATATAGATGGTAGGTACACAAGTGTTTGCTATATTATTCCTTTTTTTCTGTCATTTAAAAGCTTTTAAAATAATAGAAAAACTGTACCACAAAACACATAATAAAAATCTTGCGGTGGTTGAGTGGCTCAGTTGCTTGGAGCATCGTTCCACACACCAAAAAGGTTACAGGTTCAATCCTGAGTCAGGGCACACACCTAGGCTGTGATTCAATTCCCAGTTGGGGTGCACAAGGGGGGCAACTGATCAATGTTTCTCTCACATGGATGTTTCTCTCTCTCTCTCTCTCTACCCTGCCTCCTTCCCTCCCTTTCTTCCTCTCTCTAAAATCAGTGAACACCCTGAGGTGAAGATTTTTAAAAAACTGTCTTAAAGGCAAAGGCATTTCCCTGCTGCTTTGTTATAGCTATTTTCCCATCTCATTAGATGTTGCTTTTTACAAATACCATCAATCAGGACAAACATTAAATAGAAACATACATATATTAAAGGTCCTGAAATTTTATTTTCCAGGCATAACATTTTTTATTGTCTCTTATAAGTTTTTTATTGGGTCAATTTCCTTTAAAAAGCAGCCCAAGCACTCTCCCTATCTTTAAAGCTGTTAGTCCAAGGCTGGACTAATTTCGTACTTATGAAGTACAAAATAACTTTTAAATTATGTTGAATTTTAAAATTTATAATAAACAGTAAAATTACGATCAAGAAATTAAATCTTATGAAAAATTTTTTTGAACTTTGTTTACTAGTTCCCACGATTTCAAAGTTGATTTTTGATTAAATGAAATCCTAATTAAAACCCTCGCCAGGTGGCTCAGTTGGTCAGAGCGTCACCCTTTATGCCAGAGTTATTGGTTCAATCCCCTGGTCAGGACACATACAAAAATCAACCAGCGAATGCATAATGAGTGGAACAACAAATCAATGTTCCTCTTCCTCTCTCTCTCTCTCTCTCTCTCTCATCTCTCAAAAAGAAAAAAAGAAAGAAAAAAGTCCCAACTGAAAATAAATCCATTTTAAACATAGAATTGAAATAGGCATATTTATTTACTTCACAAAATTCTGAAGTTGCAGAATTAAAGGTGTTTCTGGGCTTGTGATTTCACATCAGTCCAGAAGTTTCAGAGCCCTACCCTGTCAGACCTGACACTGTGCAGGTGAAAGGAAAAAGGGGGAGCTAACTAAGGTTTTTCAGCTTTAAGTGCAACACCAATGAAAAAAACTTCTACAGACAGGGATCCTGTCCGTAGAAGTTGTCAAGAGAGGCAACATGCAAAAGGTTAGCATATCCTAGAGCTGAAGGGGTATCCCCAAAAGGTTTTTTTGAGTATTCCTAACATTACACATCAAGTATAGCATGATCATACTTCAGCAATTTATATTTTCAATTTAATTTAATAGGAAATTTCTACCACAATAACTAATTTAAAAATAAAAACCAATGGGCAAGGATGACTAACTTTTACAGTCGGCTATCTCAAAGCAAAATATGTCTATATTACAGCATTATCAGTAATATAATTAATGTTAGTAATATAAGTAACAATTCGAACTCAATATAAACTCCCATCCTGCATGGAAACAAGCATTATGCGCATGCTGCAATGCTTAAGGCTCTGCAAACACAGGAGGATGAAAATCTCACTCACCATGTACATTGGGGACCCACACAGGGTCGCAGCCATCATGTTACTGTGTAGATAACGAGCAAAACCAAAATCCGCTATTCCACAAAATAAAGAAGAGAAAAACAAATGATACCTTTGCTCACAATTAACACAGATGAAGATTCTTCAAGATACAAGAGGGCACAAAAAAATGTGAGAAATTAACAGCCATGGAATAAAACTGTTTACCAAAGAAAAAAAGTAGCTACCTCAATTTTAACAGGCTAAGAGAAAGAAGTCACCAATTGTACAAGTCACTGCTCTGCCAGTTTTGTAACAAAGGAGAAAGCACCAAGCTTTGCTAGAGCAAGCTCTAATTATAATAAATAATTCATTAATATAGTTCTTATTAAAACTGAACTGTCTTTGTCCTCCAGATATCAGGTGTAACCTATATAACATCAGAAATTTCTTAAGATATTGCTAAGAAATGATATTTCTAACAACAAAAAGTTTTTTTTTAAAAAAATATCTAGCATTACAAACTGCTTCAAATAATTTTGAGATATGAGAGCTAAAACACTGCCAAATAAGAAGGCTGAACAAAATGGTCTTTTAAGATTCCTTATGTTAAAATCCCATGAGTTGTAAAATATCTGGGTTACTAATTTGCTGCCAACAACTGCAATACTTCAGCTTCCCTCTGACGAGGAGAAGCAGGATTTCCTGCTAGGATTCATATCTAGAGTTCCTAACATGAGCCATTTGGCCCTGTCTGAAATTTACCATATGCTGCCAATAAGGGTTCACACCTCACTGAATTCAACAAAAATTTCCAAGTGCATCAACAAAAGCACTCATTGTAACAAAGCTGAAATCAAATTATCTAAAAATACCAACTCTCAAAGATGTTCTTTACATGAAACAACACACAGACACTGACCTATTTTGATGCGAACACCACTAACGCTGGACTTTCTGCGATTGGCGTAGGACAGCAAGATGTTCTGTGGCTTGAGATCCCTGTGGATTATTCCCTTGCTGTGCAAAATTCGCATAGCAGCTGCAATCTGATGCAGAAACACTCTAATGGTATCTTCACTGAGAGTTCCTTTAGCTAGGACAAAAGGAGACGGATAAATATTTAAGCACACAAAATCAAATACCATCTGCACAATGCCATCAATAGAATCGGGTTGCTAAGGAGACCATGGAGAGAACTGGATACACATTTTTCCCCCCTTTTTCTACTTTAATAACTTAAGTCTATGAAGAGACAGCAGATGTCTCAAAAGTTTTAATTAATCTATTGTAAGGAGAACTGATTTAGATTGGCATCTTTTATTTTCACTGGTGTTCATTTTTTATTTTCCTTTCTCATAACTCTTTTTTAAATCTTTATTGTATTTTTTTCCATTACCATTTAGTCCTCTTATACCTGTCCCCCCGCCCCCAGCAATCACCACACTGTTGTCCATTACTCTTAATACAACGGGTGCTCAACAAATTTGAGTCCCCTTTACAAACCAGAAAGTAAGTTCCCCTTCATATTAGTCAAATATCTAGGATAAATGTCCATATTCAATTCCAACCATTATACCAGCACAAATTAGAAACAGATGAAGTCCTTGGATGGAGACACTTGATCATTACTGCCACTTTGACCTGTCAGGACCTGTGTCCCTACATCCTCATCCTCTAATCTCCCCCACCACCCACACTCCTGCCCCACCACAGCACCTTTCATAAGTAAAGACACCTTTCAGAAGAAATGTTTTAACCTGTTCTCACTATGATAAAGAGGCAGGAGGAAAATTCTTTTTAAGGACAGTCATTATTCAGCAAATGCTACAGTGTTTCTGTATGTGTGCTGGATTGTGTAATGCTTAACAGTCTGGAGTCAGAGTGCCTTTGTTCAAAGACCAGCTCCTCCAACTGTTTACTCTGTGACCCTGGAAGATGATCCTTCTGTGCCCAACCCTCATCTATAAAAAGCTGAAACTAGGCTAATCACACTGGATTGCTGAGACAATCAAACAAGACAGCATATTCAGTCATGAAGACTTTAAATAAAGGCCTGACACAAAGATACTCAATATAGTCAGTACACAAATATAAACTCCTTATTGTAATGAAACTAAAAGTAACAAGTATAATTCCATGAAACTCCATTTGGAATTTAATATCCATGACCCTATCTAAGTCATCCATACAACTCCAAAATATGTTCTATACTACCTTTCTATACGCAATTAAGATAAAGATATGAAAATAACTAATATTTGGAACAAGTAAAATATTATGGTTTTAAAATCATTTTAATGACATGTTAAATGGCACTTTATGTATTCACATCTTCAAATAAAATAAATCCTTTTGGTTTAAAAATTATCAAATACTTTGTACTGTGAGGGCTATTTTTAACCTATCCCCATTTCTTAATTCTTTGGAATTCTGTTCCTGATGCTCACTGTAAAAAAATTAAAATTCAAATACCCTAAGTAAAAAGTAAAATCTTCTACAACCCCATACCCTTGAGATGACTATTGTTTAAATTTATGGTACATGATTCCAGAACTACTGTCTTGCTAATGGCAAGAGACAAATTATTACATATTAATGAATGGGTCAAAGCAACACTGGAGCTTTATTTTTGTAATGTTTTACTTAAATTACATTGCAACAATTAAAATGGATAGTATTTTTTCCATTTCATTCATTTACATTATCGTTCTATGGCTTAGAAAAATTTTTCTACTTTAAATGACTGTAGCTACTTAGAACTTATATCTCTGTCCCATGACACACAATTGAATATACTTAAAATTTACTTAATTCAGAATCCAAATTCTAACACTATCTGTTCCCCTGGGGGAAAATTAATGATCTAGTTTAGTGTAGGCTGTTTCTGGGTACAAACTGTAGCAAAAACTCACATATTTTTACAAACAAGAGATGTGCATTTCTCAACACAATCCAATAAACTCAAATTCCCACATTAAAAACTTAATATACTAGTTTCTCAATATCACTGGGGGACATGATTCCAGGACCCCCCCCCACTAATAATAAAAACAATAGATGCACAGGTTCCTTATATAAAATGGTATATATACCATCAACAACATATACCACCAGCCTCCTGCAGCTGTGAATTCCCAACCTCAGATCCAAAACACTGTTACTGGGATCCAATCAAGATGGCAAAGTAGGTAAATGGTGTGCTCATTTCCTCCCATGACCACATCAAAATTACAGCTAAATTATAGAAAAATCAACCTGAAGAACCATCTTAAGACAAGTTGAACAGAAGTCCTATAACTAAGGATATAAAGAAAAAGCCACATTGAGACAGGTAGGAAGGGCAGAGATGCGAAATGGGCTGGCCCCACACCCAAAAGGGGCAGTTGAGAATTGGGAGGTATATCTCAACTACAGAGGGGGGGTCTTGGCTCCACACTGAGCTCACCAACCTAGAGCACCACGACCAGGAACAGGAGCCACCATAACATCTGGCTGTGAAAATTAGCAGCGATCCCATCCATCCAGGTGAGCCAGAAGGCTGCTGGAAACCCAGGTGTCTTTTTAAGGGCTCCTGCACACACTCACCCACTTGCAAACACACACCCTGGGCCCTGGCAGAGGGTCAGCAGTTCAGAAGGCACCAGAGACACTGGGGAGAGTTGTGTGGTTTCAGCTAGAGTTGAAGGGACAGCCACCATTGTCTCTGTGTTGAACCTTCCTCTCATACAGCTGGCAAGAAGCACCGTATTTCCTATGTCGACTCTTCATCTCACAAGGTCAAATCTGAATTTATATTAGCCTGGTGAACACCACAGGCCCCATCCTGATGACTCCGCTCAGACCCCACCCCACCCAACAAACTACTGCTGGAGGCTCTTTTGGCACCACAAAGCCAATCAGGCCTATGCTACAGATTTTCTTTAAAAAATCTCTTTAAGGTCTGCAGGTCCCAGTCAGGCAGCTGCTGGCCTTGGTGTGCCCTGTGCCTTTTTCTGAGTGGCCACAAACACAGTACTGTTCTCAAATCTAAATCTGCATTAACCTGGTAAACACCACTCATCCAACCCTGGGGACTCCCTGAGACCCGCTTCACACAACTCAGGTACCAGCAGAGGCTCTTTCAGTGGCTGTGCCTCACCAACAGCCAGCAGATGGCAGCAGGCCTCACTGAGCCCTGTGTCTTTTGCTAAGCAGCCCAGGCCTGGTACTGGTGGCAGCAGGCCTTGGTTTGCAGCATGGCCTTTCCCACATACCTCCACAACAGCACACCCTAAGGGTGGTCTTGGCATGCACCAGAGCCAGCTGAGATGAACCTTAGTGTACAAGCTCAGCAGCTGTATACTGTGGTCATGGCCAATCCTCACAGCTAGCCTGAGGATCAATCCCTCCCACTGAGGTTCCAACAAGAGTCAAGGCTTAACTACAACAGGAGGACACACACAACCCTCACAAGGGACACCCTTGGAGCACCTGGCTCAGGTGACCAGGGAGACTGCACCCCTGAGCCCCACAAGACACCCACTATACAAGGCCTCTCTATCAAGATGGGGAGCTGTAGCAGCTCTACCTAATACCTAGAAACAAACACAGGGAAGCAACCAAAGTGGGGAGAACAAAGAAACATGCCCCAAATGAAAGAACAGGAGAAAAAAAAAAACAGAAAACAAAAACCCTAAACTAAATGAAATACAGACAAGCAACCTACCAGAAACAGTTCAAAAGACTGGAACTTAGTAAGAACATCAACAAGCAAATAGTAAACGTAATAAAGAACACAGAAACCATAAAAAAGAACCAGTCAGAAATGAAGACTATAACTGAAATAAAGAATACACTAAAAGGGATGAACAATGCAGTATATGAGGCAGGGGACTTAATCAGCCATTTGGAAGATAAGGTAGCAGGAAACAACCAATCAGAACAGCAAAGAGAAAAAAGAATTTTAAAAAATGAGTATACTTTAAGAGACCTCTAGGGCAACATCCAGCATAACAACCACCACATCACAGGGTACCAGAGTAGCAGAGAGAGTTCAAGGGACTGAGAACGTATCTGAGGAAATAATGCCTGAAAACTTCCCTATCCTGGAAAAAAAAAGACATACAAGTCCAGAAGTGCAGAGAATCCCAAACAGGATGAACCCAAAGAAGCCCACACCAAGGCACATCATAATTAGAATGGCACGCAGGGTGTCCAACCTGTGGCACATGGGCTGCATGCAGCCCAACACAAAATCGTCAATTTACTTAAAACCTTTTTTTTTTTTGCTCATAAATTTTCATTAGTGTTTGTGTATTTAATGTGTGGCCCAAGACAACTCTTCTTTTTCCACTGTGGACCAGAGATGCCAAAAGGTTGGACACCCCAATAGGGTAAAGACAAAGAGAAAATCGAAAAAGCAGGAAGAAAAAGGCAGTTAGTTACCTACAAAAGAGTTCCCTTAAAACAATGAAACTAGACTACATTGTTACACCATATACAAGAATAAATTCAAAATGGATTGAAGACCTAAATATACCACCCAAAACCATAAAACTCCTAGAAGAAAACATACGCAGTAAACCGTTTGACTTTGCTCTTAGTAACATTTTTTTCTTATACATCTCCTCTGGCATGGGAAACAAAAGAAGGAATAAACAAATGGGACTACATCAAACTATAGAGTGTTTTCACAGCAAAGGAAATCATCAACAAAATGAAAAGACAACCTACCAATTGAGAGAAGATATTCACCAATAAAATATCTAATAAGGGGTTTAATATTCCAAGTATATAAGGAACACATACAACTTATCACCAAAAAAATCTAAATAGACATGAAAAGATGGCCAACAGACATATGAAAAGATGCTCAATGTCACTAATCACCAGAGAAATGCAAATTCAAACCACAAGGAGATATCACCACATACGTGTCAGAATGGCTACCATCAATAAATCCACAAAGTGCTGGCAAGGATGTGGAGAAAGGGAAACCCTCTTTTGCACTGTTGGTGGAACTATAAATTGGTACAGCCATTATGGAAAACAGTATGGAAGGTTTCTCAAAAAATTAAAAACAGAACTACTTTTTGACCTAGTGATTTCACTTCTGGGTATTTATCCACAGAAACCCAAAACAGTAATTTGAAAAGATAATATGCATCCCTATGTTCATTGTTGCATTATTTATAATAGCCAACGTATGAAAGCAACCTAGTATTCATCAATAAGTAATTGGATAAAAAAGTTGTGGCTCATATGTACAATGGAATATTAGTCAGCCATAAAAAAGAACAAAATCTTACCATTTGCAACAACATGGATGGACCAAAAGGGTATTATGCTAAATGAAGTAAGTCAGAGAAAGACAAATTCCATATGATTTCACTTACATGTGGAATCTAAAGAACAAAATAAACAAACAAAAGAGACACAGACTCATAGATACAGAGAACAGACTGATAGTTGCTAGATGGGAGAGGGCTGGGGGGATGAAAAAGGTGAAGGGATTAAGTACAAACTGATAGTTACAATATTCAGGGAGATGTAAAGTACAGCATAGGAAATATAGTCAATAACATTATAATAATTATGTATAGTGCCAGGTGTGTACTAGACTTATCAGAGGAATCACTTCATGAAATATATATATATATGTCTAACCACTATGCCATACACCAGAAACTAATAATAAATGTCAACTTTAATTTTTTTAAATGTTTTTAATATAAAACAAAGAAAATACTGTTTCTATATGAACAATGATTAAAATAAAATTTAAAAAAAAGAAAATACTGTTTCAATGCAGTTGTTTGAATCTGCATATGCAAAACCCAGGGATAAGGAGAGCAAACTATACATTTTAAAAAATCCATCCCTGGCTGGCATAGCTCAGTGGATTGAGCGCAGGCTGCGAACCAAAGCATCGAAGGTTTGATTCCCAGTCAGGGCACATGCCTGGGTTGCAGGCCACGGCCCCCAGCAACCACACATTGATGTTTCTCTCTCTCTTTCTCCCTCCCTTCCCTCTCTAAAAATAAATAAATAAAATCTTTTAAAAATATAAATAAATAAAACAAAAATTATTTTTTTAAAAAATCCACATACAGCCCTGGATATTGTGGCTCAGAGGACTGAGCACTGCCCTGTAGACCAAAAGGTCACTGGTTCAATTCCCAGTCAGGGCACATGCCTGGGTCGTAGGCCAGGGCAACTGATCGATGATTCTCTCCTTTCTCCCTTCTTTCCCCTCTCTAAAAATAGATGAAATGAATAATAAAACATCCATGTATAAGTGGACCTATGCAGTTCAAACCCACATTGTTCAAGGGTCAACTATATTTTAAAGTCATTCCCAACATCGTAACTCTTTGAAATGAATGAATTCTTGAGCAAGTCAGCCCTTAGAGAGTAGGCTCAGCTGTAGCTGCCACACAATGTGTTCTGCTAGAATTAATGTTAAAATACAACTTACTAATGGATTTAGAATGTTTTATTTTAAATTTGCAATTTTCCTATATTTTGAAAATGTAAAAGGTACTTTTTTATTAAAACAAGTAAAAGGACTAAATAACTGTGTTATGCTATAATGGCATTAGACCCTTTAAACTTTTTAGACATCCCAGATCTTCTAGACCAGTGCTCTCAACAGAAATATGTGAGCCACATATGTAACTAAATTTTCTAGTAGCCACATTTTAAAAAAGTGAAAAGAAACAGGTGATGTTAACAGTATATATTTAACCTAATATATCTAAAGTATTATCAAACTTGTAATATATTTAAAATATTATCATTCAAATTTGTAATCAATATAAAGAACTTGGCCCTGGCCAGGTAACTCCATTGGTTACAGCATCGTTCTAATACACCAAGGTTGCAGGTTTGATTCTTGCTTGGAGTACAAACAATCAAACAATGAATGCACAAATGAATGAAACAAAAAATTGATATCTCTGTCTCTCAAAAAAAACCCAATAAATATTTTTTAAATATATTAAAAACAATAAAATATAATCATTGTTTTCTCCCTATGAAGTGTTCAAAATCCATTGTGTATTTCACATAACAGCACACCTCAATTCAGGCTAACCCATTTGGTCAGTGGCTACCATATTAGACAGTGTAGCTATAGACAATTTTTTTAAGATAACATTTACTTTATGTCTTTTCAAGTATTTTGAAATTACAAGGACTGTAGTAGACTGTCAGGTATTTTCACCATAGCACCTTTGCAGTATATATTTGTCACAAGCATTTTTGCAGTAAAACTAATTGGGTAGAAGGCAATTTTGCTATAAAAAAGATATGCCCTGGCTGGTGTGGCTCAGTGGATTGAGCACCAGCCTGCAAACAAAAAAGATAAAAATAACTGGTTGCCAGTTTGGGATTTTTGTTGCTGTTATTGTTTGGTTTCATTACTCCATTGATGAAGTTCATACTGTTACTCCCATTTTTCTATTCTATATAAATCTTAGCTAGACTTCATAATGATCTATAAAGTGACAAGTAGATGTAGTGGCATCTAAAATAGCACTTCTTTCAAGTGATGATGATGATGATGACCAAGCTGGTTTCTTTCTCTGGGAGCATATAATTGAACTCACATTTCCCACAGAATGAAGACAAGTGCTTAGTTACAATCCACAAAATGAAATCCGTTACTGGCCCAAAACTACCATGAATCTAAACACATTTTAAATGCACATAAATATTCTATATTCCACAAGTATTATTTTTTTAAGATTTTATTTATTTATTTTTCAAGAGAGGGGAAAGGAGGGTTGAAGAGAAACATCAATGTGGGGTTGCCTCTCGCATACAACTAGCTGGGGTCCTGGCCTGCAACCAAGGCCTGTGCCCTGACCAGGAATTGAACTGGTGACCCCTTGGTTCACAGGTCGGCACTCAATCCACTGAGCCACACCAACCAGAGCTTCACAAGTGTTTTTAATTTTGTTACTCATTTTTTATGTTTATTACATCCTTTTTAAGGTCCCTTTTGTTGTGATTTTATCTTTTTCATGGCAAGATTGCCTACAGCCAGTTATTTGGTGAAAATGTTTGCGGCAAAAACCCTTGCAAGGGTTTGTAGACAGCTGTCTACAGCAAAGATGATTATGGTGGAAGTACCTAGAACTGGGGCAAACAGGGTCAAGGGAGAGGTTAAAGAACTTGATCAAAATCATATAGCAATTAAGTAATGTAAACAGTGGAACTGTTGCAAACCAGCTGGCCTGTCTGACTCCAATGTTTACGTAAGCTCTTCACTCTTCCGTCTCCTGTTCTAACAGTATTGCTCTGGAATATCAAATTCAGAGTTCAACATCATGGACATAGCTGCTGTCAAAGCAAACTTAAATCACCACACCACTACTAGCCCTTATATGAGTGAATAAAAATTGTGTTAATGAAGGAAACTGATATTCTAATGAGGACTATGAACTGGTGAGGTGCCCCTCATTCTGCCCCCTGCAGGAAGTCCTTTGATTCATTCACTAAGAATGTCAAGGACTCAAGATTGACGGAGGGAAAGAGGAAGCAAGTTCACTAGCCTCAACTCCTTTCCACCGGTGGTGAATAACAGTTCCTGTTGCCCTGCTTTCTACTAGTAAATTAAGTTTTGAAAAGTTTTTACCAAATTGAAAAAGGATTTAAAAAAGTTATTAAAAAAGGATTCTGCATTAGGAAAAATACAAAAACATGTGTAATAAATGACCAAATTCAGGGTGACATTTATCTCTAAAGGAGAAGGCAGGAATGGGACTACAGAAGGACTTACAGAGAACTTCAACTGTATTTATAATTTCTCTTCTTTACTGGAGAGTGGGTAATACCAATGTTCTTTATATAATTCTTTACACAGCTTTTGAATTCATCAATATTTTACAGTTTAAAGATTTTTTAAATCTGTTTTTAAAAATCCTCATCCAAGGATATGTTTATTGATTTTAGAGAAAGAGGAAGAGAGAGAGAAAGAGAGGGAGAAACATCGATCATCTGCTTCCTGTACATGCCCTGATGGGGGATTAAAGCTACAACCTAGGTTTGTGTCCTGACCCAGAATCAAACATGCAAACTTTTGGTGTACAGGAGGATGCTCCAACTAACTGTGCCACTCAGCCTGGGCTAAGTCTCATTATTAATTGCACTGCTTGATTACTCAGTGAAACTGAGTATTTTCACTATGTTGTTTCTCTTTCGGAAACTGTCCATACTTTTTTGTGTCTGTATCTGTTGATGTCATAGTGTTTTTATCATCAATTAATTACCATGATCTGTTTACAGGTTGAGATCGAACCTTCTACTATGTTTCTGCGTATTTCCCTTGCATCTTTAAGGGATACAAGTAGAGGCTTATTTCATTTAACATCATTAAAAAAATACTTTTGAGAGATACAATTTGACCTGAATGCTTATCCTGTATCCTACATGTACACATTTTGGAGACAGAATTTCAAGAATTACCTAATACTAAAATCTTATCTCTGTGCCAGGAAATCATTTCAGTATTATCTTTAATCCCCTATAACATTTTTAATTTACATAAAACATTCATATTAATCAACACATTCTTGTACAAATTCTTCCATTACAATTTTCCTTTTATTTTGAAAGAAATGAAAAGGGCTAAAGGTTCACTGATGGCAACCCAAGAGAGTCCTTTGAAAAACAAAAATCTATTTGATTTTTTTTCTCTTTTGGGAAGAGGACTCACCTCTCAAGCACTGTCAAAGAGACACACACAAAGTACTTACACACAAGAAGAGTTTGAGAACAAAACCACAACCAATTGAAATTAGTCAGCAAAGTGAACATAATTAAACAAGTACACAAATATTTACTATTTCTATATAACAGTGATAAAGTACAAAAAGCAGATTATATATATCAGAATTAAACAGATTATAGTACTATCTTTATTGAATACTGACACACAAAAATATTACCTTGCAAATAATCTGCCAGGTCTCCACCATTGCAATACTGATATATATATATAAAAAAAAAAAGTAATTAAAATAAGGACACCAATTTAAGGTTAATTCAATCCATTATCAGTTAACTTTAATTAAAAAGTCATTTGTATATAATGTAAATCTAGTCTGAAAAACATAAGAATTATAGAATCAAAAATTTTAATACTATTTTCCTTATTAAATAGAATCTCAATCACTGAATCAATTTATTAATTCAAATTTTCAAATCTGAAAATTTTCTATTCTTAAAGGGCATATTAATCAAAAGGAATTTGAAATAAATTAAACAGGAGCTTGTATACCACCTACCTCCATCACCAGGAAGACAGAGTTGGGTAATTCCTAAAAAATATACAATATTAAAAACATCATTTAGATTAGAAAAAAATTAAGCACAAATTTAATAAATAACTTTAACAAAAATACTATTCTTTCCCATTACTAAACAAGTAAAAAGGAATCACAAAATCCATTAGTGAGTGAATTTTAAACCCCCAACACAATGACTTAAGCATCTCAGCTTCCAAGCCAAATCAGGTTTTGATGACACCAAGGTACTCATCAAGAAGTTCTGTTCTGTTTGTGGAAAGAACTCAAGAAAGCCTCATTTTTTGGTTATGGTTATGGTCCACCTATCAGTGGTGAAAAACAGCGAGGACCCTCTCCTCTTCAGGGAGCACTCCTGCTTTGGAAGTTCATGATCGGGGCAATGGCTTGACATCCTCCCCAGCAACCCGAGAGGCACACTCTGATTTCTGGAATACATGATTCAGAACACTTAATTTTTTATTGTTCTAGTTTTTGTGTTTATCTGGAAGCAATCACATTATCTGGGAATTTTTGGCTATTTCCTTGAAAATATTTCATCACATCTTGGTAACAGACTGATCCAAAGGAACTGATTTGAGGAATTTTACCCAGTCTCTCAAATTCACATAGCTCCAGTTCTGTTGCCTGGTCAGGCAATCCAACAACACATCAGCTGATTCTTCAATAACAATTTTTATAATGCTAATTAAATTTTAAATCAGGCTTCCTTACAGCTAAACTTGAGCCACTGTTCAAATGTGATTCAAGAGATAGCCCTATCAAGTATCACTTGGTTTCACCAAGATCCTAAATTCAAGAGTAAGGAATTCTACAGGAAACCAGAGGAGGACCAGGGCAGAAAGAGGACAGGTCTAGGGCAGCACTCCTCAGAGTGAGGTTCACAGCCAGTGCCAGTCAGTGAGTTATCTTGTACTGGCTCACAATGAAATAACTACAGAAATTAGGAGTAAGAATTTTTAAAGTTTTAAAGTAAACTAAACAAAATAATTTTATGTCTGCTGACCCTAATAATAAAAATGTTAAACATCTGTTTGTAGCACCTTTATTTCACTTTCATATTAATTCATTTTTATTGGATTTTATAATACAACTATCAGTTCACACAGATTAAAAATAAAAACAGGTGTCTCACAGTAGCTGGGTTACAGCACTTCTGTGGTACAAGGAGCAAACAAGGGCTGCCACTGAGTGGTGTCTCACGTCCACCAAGGGATGGGGCCACGAGTCAGGAACTGGATGAAATCATGTCTTTCAAGAGACTCAGTGACGTATGATGGCTTTTTTCACTCATTTATCAAGAGGACTGGGTAAAAAATTGAAATGTATTATGCCCAATTCTTTGACCCCCGCCCCTCAATGGCACATGCAGGTTCAGAAAAACGGCAACACCTCCAGCTCTGTGCAGGGGACATGGAGCCAGGCTGCAAACCTAGCACAGGCCTGGCTTCAAAGCAGCAGCCCTCGACCAGTCAGAAAGGAGGCAGAGAACAGTCCAAGTTCAGCAGGCTAGGAGAGTAAGTCTGTTAGAAAGAAATACTTCTTTCCTTTTCTCATAAATAAAAACAAAAAAAATTTTGTTTTTGTTAAGTCATCTCCATTGCCAACTAGTCTTAATCACAAAACCTGATCAAATCCAAACCAAACTATCCTATCATCCCTAAAAATACCAAAAAATCATTAAACATAACTTTCAACAGAATTTTCATCTTCTCAAGTATAAAGAACAAAATATTATCTAAAATCAGTATTATTTAATCAGATAATAATACCTTATTCTAACTACTGAAGAGATAAGAAAGCTAGGAATTCCTAAGGGGAGGCTAAACAGCCATGAAGAACATCTGTTCACTCAGCATGAAGAAATCAAATTTCTATTTTAGTATGCCCAATTTGGGGGTTATATATAACCACTTAGTTTCCCCCACTCATTCTATAAATAAATAAGATAGACAGAAGTATTCATTTTTTTCAATGAAATAATCACGTCATCTATAAACAGATTGAAGCTCAAATGGTACTGGGCACCAGAGAAGAGCCCTTCTGTCCCACTCCCTGACCTTGGAGAACAAAAAGGGCTGGAGGGTGAGTCCTATCACCAATGGCCAATGAATCAATCAGTTGTGCCTGTATGATAAAGCCTCCATAATTGCCCCAAAGGACAGGCTTCTGAGAGCTTCCAGGTTAGTGAACACATGGAGGTTCTATGAGAATCCCACACCCAGAGAGCAGACCTTGTTTTATGCATCTCTTTCATCTGGCAGTTTGAGTTATATCCTTTAGTAATAAACTGATAATCTGGTAAATAACATGTTTCTTTGAGTTCTCTAAGCTGCTCTATCAAATTTACTGAACCCAAGGAGAGACTGGTCAATAGTGTGGTAGACAGACCTGAGCAGAGCAGGACAATGGGCCAGGAACAGAAGGTCACCAGGGCGGAAAGCCCCCCAGTGCCTAGCAATGAGCAAAAGTGGGAAACCAAGGACCCCGCCACCTGGGTGACATTTCCTCCCACAGCATACCACTCTGGTCATGCAGTTTAGACCTTCTAACCTTTCATATCACTGATCATGCAGTTCGAACCCTCCACTGACCTTTCCTCACCTGTCATGTTGCTAGTCACAAGGGTTAGACCCTCTTAGAGAAGGAACAAATAATGGGGCTGGAGAACAGCCCTTAAGCATTAAGCCCCCAGGACAGTGAGGTTCTGACCCACATCAAATACATCTAGGCCTTAGTTGTGTTTTAGCTCCAAGCCCAGAATAGCAGCAAACAATATCACTCTGACCTCACGACCAGCTGCACTGACTAATGATCTACCCTGGCAACAACCTATCAGTGGAGATCATGAGCTAGAAAGGACACACCTGAAAAGCTGATGAATATTCTACTGAGATCCTCCCTTGGGTCCTCGCCTAAAAATCTCTGCCCTTAAAAGCCCACAAGACAGAGGACTCAGGGGACTCTCCCTCCCTGGCCTTTCCCTCCCCCTTTACCCACCTCTTCCCCACTCCTGCCCCAGGCATGTTACCCTCACTTTTCTCTCTCCTAAGCTCCAAGGGTCCTTCTTTTGCCTCTCTAACTTGCTTCCTGAGCCCATTTCTTCTACTGCTCACTCCTACCTGTGACTTACTGAACAAACTTTTGCTTACACAGGGTCCAGTACAAATAACACCCCCTTTTTATTAAAAAGGATTTAGTAATCATGCTTATGATTAAAATCATAAGCATGTGGCCCTGGCTGTCGTAGCTCAGTGGATTGAGCGCAGGCTGCGAACCAAAGTGTCGCAGGTTTGATTCCCAGTCAGGGTACATGCCTGGGTTGCAGGCCATGACACCCAGCAACCGCACATTGATGTTTCTCTCTCTCTATCTCCCTGCCTTCCCTCTCTAAAAATAAATAAATAAAATCTTTAAAAAAAATAAAAAATAAAATTAAAAAAGTAATAAGCATGTAATTCTGTAACATAAAGCACCCTCAAGCACACCATGTGACATTTTAGGTGTTCAAATTAAAATTATAAATTATTATGCCCATATTATTACCCTACCAACCACACTCAAGCAGGTGTTACTTCTGCCAGAGACTTGGCTCTGAATTCTTTCCTAGCCAGAACTCAAGTACCAATTGCTGAACCAAGGTCCAGTCTGACCCCACTGGCCTAAAACCTGGTACCATTCTTGGTCACAATCTCATTGCCAACAGAAGCACAGGCAACGACCTAAACTTGGTGATTAGTGTCCAAAGGGGGTGGAGGGCTAGTCTTGTGGTACTGAGCCCTTAACTTTATGAACTGATGCTATCTTCATATTGATGGTGTCAGAATTGGGTTAACTGCTTGGTGATATTGGAAAAAACAAGCTTTCAACCATAAAACTGACCTCAAATGAATTTGTAAATTGATAACAAAGTACCTACCTAATCTGACCCTGATTTGCCCATAATTCTTCAAATTGCTTAAGTCCTGCCCTCTTTTTAACAATCATACAGAAGATATCATCCTCTTCCACAATGAATCACCCTATCACTCTTTTACATAAATAAATTCCAGAAATCAAAGATGTAAATATGGAAAAAAATGAAATCATAAGTACTAAAAGAAAACATTGGGGATCATTTTTATAATCTCAAGGTGGAGAAATCCTAAACATGATATACAACCTGGAGATCATTAAAGAACAGATAGATAAATTAACTATATAACAACTTCCATATATCAAAAAAGAGGCCAAAATAAGACCAAAAAGAGAGAGAAAACATTTTAATAGATATAACAAAGAGCTACCGACTCTGATTCCCTCTTCCTACCTCCCACAGGCTAAGTACCAAGTCCCCAAAACCCCATCTTCTAAACATCTTGCCAATCTCTCCAGGCCTCTGCATTTGCACTGGGGCCATCACCACCCCAAAGCCTATTACAAGGTGGACCCAAATCCACTCTTGCCCATTCTCCACAGAGCAGACAGCATTTGATGTACTTCAATAAACTCTTAAGCCAGTTAATTTGTAATAGAGAATACTCCTTTCTATAACCACAGTGGTTAAGTCTAACACTCAGATATATACTCCTATATAGTCCGTTACTGACATAAAAGTACCTGGAATACTAATTCATAATCAGAAATTACCCCATGATTATAGAAAGCAAGCAAAGTGGGTACTCCCTACACCCCCCAAAAAGAAAAACTGATTTTTTCTTAATTATTAAAAAATTGTTGCCCTGGCTGGTGTAGCTCAGTGGATTGAGTATAGGCCTGCAAACCAAAGGGTCGCCAGTTCAAGTCCCAGTCAGGGCACATGCCCAGGTTGTGGGCCGGGTCCCCAGTTTGGGGTGTGTGAGAGACAACCACACATTGATGTATCTCTCCTCTTTCACCTTCCTTTCCCCTCTCTCTAAAAAATAAATAATAAAATCTTTTTAAAAATTGTTTATTGCGCCCTGGCTGGTGTAGCTCAGTGGATTGAGCACGGGCTGCGAACCAAAGTGTCGCAGGTTCGATTCCCAGCCAGGGTA